GAGTGCTGGGATTAAAGGCGTGCGCCACCACCGCCCGGCATCTTTCTTTCTTTTTTTAAGGCAGGGTCTCACCATGAAACTAATGGCACGAATCTCACTCTGTAGAACAAGTTGGCCTCAAATTCAGAGACCCTACGTCTACCTCTCAAGTGCTGAGATTAAAGGCGTGCACCAGCACACCCAGCTTAGACTATCTCCTAAGGCTTACCATGTTAACTGCTGTAAGGCTGGAAAACCTAGTTCAGACTGTACAGCTTGTGTTCTGTTAGTGAGCTAACTAACAACTGAGGTTTGTGGGATTCGGGTTTTGAGTACTAGCATTTATCACAGATCTCATCAAGCTCTTTAAAAAAATAATACATTTTATCATAAATATTTAGATCAGATACTGGCATCAAAAGAGTATCTAAGTCTGTCTTCATGGTGAAAATATTTCAGCAAACTTCTAAAAGATTTTATATCTTCCCAAGAGTACACCATTTACAAATTTGTTTTAAATGGAAAAAAAAGTATCTATCTTAGATGGATAAATCACCATGTCAGCAAATCATAAATAAGTTCAAGATACTGAAAATAAGTTAACACACAAAACTTTTGCTTTCAAAAACATCAATAACAAAAAACTAACTTACTTGGCATACTTTCAAACCAGGCATAACCAGGGTGTGTAATGTGCATCTGTCCACCCTCTGCCGCATCTTTTCTTCGATCCCTACACCTAGGGAAAAGACAGCAGCACTGGCAGACACCCCACTGTGAGCATCTGGCTGCTGCATGCACACAAGCCGGTGGCAGACAAATGGTGCTCAGGATGTGCCATGAGCCACTCCTCAGCCACCGTACAAGTGAAGTACATCCGTGGTCAAGTGGATTTGGCTCCCAGCTGAGCTTCAGTGGTGTGCACAGAGAACCTGCTATAGGTTCTGTGAGGAAATGTGTCCTAACTCCCAAAAGTTGTGTAAAGCACTGGAAGACAGGACATGCAGGGGATGGATGATGCCATACATGTAACTGTTTTGGAGAAAGGTCAGATTGTTAAAAGCACTGTTTCCCAATGTACTGGCTATTAAAGATAAATTATCTGTCATTCCTTCACATGTAAATTCATTTCAACTATAGTCTCTAATACTGAGTAAGAAACAGAGTAGCCATTCAGAGTAGCAAGATATAATTGGCCTGTGGAATTTAAAAGGTGTTCTATTAACTAACTAGTTTGACTCTGATTACAATGAGAAATGCAAAGCAATGAAGGAGAAAAACCGTCCCCCTTGTCATTATCAAATACAAACCTGCAGGTTCACAATGTAACTTAAAAGAAAGCTGGAGAGCATGCACCTGCTCTATCTAACGTTTACACCAGGATGGAGTAAAGGTACATTTGCTTTGTATTTACATCTGTAAACATACAAGTATAAAATTCACCAGATCTACCCTGTAGTATAGCACTGCTTAATTCCCAATATACAGTTATTCAAAAACCTTAAGGAAATAAAATGTTCCAGGCTACTTAAATGAACATATGGATACTGAGTTCTTGAGCTACTCAAGCTAAGTGCTATTTTACATTACATGGACGAGGGAATAAGCATGTCACTGTTCGTTTACTCTCCACGGCTGGTGTTTTGTTAAAGGATCAATGATACAAGGTGACTGATCTCACAGAAGTCAGCTGTGCTCTCGGCCTCTTGGTGGGACGTCAACACTTAGAACATTCTCAAAATCATGAAATGCACTTAGTTCTACAGTGTAATCAAGGGGTCTATTTAACAGGCCTTTTGTTCTGGACTGGCATGTGGGATGGAATTACTCTATAGGGGAAATGCTCTATAGGCTTTAATTTGACCCTCCATGTGGCATCCATGTCTAGTGTTGTTACTGACCTCTAGGGAATAAAAAACTCAAAGGTATGAGGACACACAGAACCACTATTTGGGTGGTAAGAAGGGAAAAGGTGAGGCTGAAACATTTAGTTTCTTCTATAATCAAGTCCTAACAATACCATAATACAGTCTCATATCAGCTCTTGATCAGTTCTTCTCATTAGGAATTAGATAGTGTACAGTGATTAGATACTGAAAAAAAAATAAAGAAAAACAATTGAAAATACATGAAGAAACAGAAAGAGAATTTCTCACAAGACCTTGGATCAAAAAACCAAACTTACAAAAAGATCTTTTGAAAATAATCACTATTTTAAGCTCATTAATACACAGAAATCACTTGGTTTTAACTAAGTCATGTTAACTCACTAGTAAAATAGTAAACAAACCAACACTTAAACCATTTTAGACTTCCTTGTCATTTCTTGCGTTAGGACCACTCTCTCAACAATGTACAAAAATAACTCTACAGGACTATTCACCTAACCTGTCTCCATGTCTGGCAAAGTCCTGGCCTTGGAGGAGACTGGCCATCAATCTTCACCGTAGATGTCCCCAGCAAAGGGCAGGTGCATGTGACTGCCAGTGACATTGGGCAGTCGAGACAAATCTGGCAGGCTCTGGATCCGGGCTCTGAGTTCTTTGCGCACCAGGGAAACTCTGGCTAGTTTGCGCTTGTATTCCTGCAACAACAAACCACTCTCGTTAGGCTTCATGTTGGAAAGGCAGTCAAGTCTTCAACTGATGCTCTGCAGAGAATGTATCATTCAGTCAGTGCCAAATAAAAGATCACTCCACTGTTTTAGTCAAAAGAGCTACAGAGGTAGTAGAGTATATTATATCCACGCATGAAAATATCATAATGAGACAGGCAGTGGTGGCGCACACCTTTAATCCCAGCACTTGGGAGCAGAGCCAGACGGATCCCTGTGAGTTCGAGACCAGCCTGGTCTCACAAACCTACACAGAGAAACCCTGTCTCAAGAAACAAAAAAAAAAAAAAAGAAAATATCCAGCCTGGGCTACCAAGTGAGTTCCAGGAAAGGCGCAAAGCTACACAAGAGAAACCCTGTCTCAAAAAAACAAAAAAAAGAAAAAGAAAAAGAAAATATCATAATGAAACACACACACACACACACACACTTTCTTAAACTGAAATTTCAAAGTGTTTTCTGTGACTGCTGCCAATAAACCATTGCAGCGTTATCAGTAACAGGGACTTTGTCTCCAATACAAACCAGCTGCTTCATAATACATTACAGTTCTGTTGGGGATGGTAGGTTTGAGATGGGTTCCTGTAACCAAAGCTGGCCTTGATCCAGTATGTAGCTTGTGTCTCTGAGCCTGCTGCCTCCACCTCTGGCATGCTGGGATGACAGTCAAGCACCACCACACCCAGTTTATTGGTGCTGGAGACAGAACGAGGCGGGGTTTTGCGTACACTAGGCCAGCGCTCTACCGGGAGCACACTCCCAAGCCCCTACGGTTTTTTCTCACTATCTCCACTTCTTACTGCTTTAGAATTAAGGTCAGGACTATACTCCCACTGTCACTAATAAATGATACATTGTTATACACACTTTGAAATTCTAATAGCTATATTTGAATGTAACTTACATTTGTAATGGTATGCATTTTCTTTTATGTATTTCAAAGCATTTAACTTCAAATCGGTTACACAGATCACCAAACTGGGCATCAAAAGCACAAAAACAGGTTTAAAAAGGCTGGCAATCAGTAACCCAAGGAATGAGACTAAAAGTCAATCAAGATCATCTCTGGTTTAGCAGGAAGATTATAGAAAAAGGTATTTCTCACTCTAAAAGAATGCTAGAGATCCTTAATTAAATCCCCCAGGAGAGCAGGTGGAAATCCCCACTTTTTTTTAGCCAACAGAGATGAGGCCTGAGGCGGGAGCAAAACAGTGGGTATGCAAAACCCTTCTTCAGTGTACCTCACTCAGTGCTGACTGCACACCTCGATCTCCTTAGGCATTGCTAAGGAGAACCCACTTGACCGTTTTAAAATAGAACTATTGGCCCCGATACTCATCGGTATCTCAGAGTATCTGGAAAAGTGTCCAGACCCTGTGATTTTTATAAAACTATAGCCTCCTAAAACTATGCTAGCAGCCAGAATTGTGAGCCATTTCTCTATATTTTTGATGCCTAAAACAGTACCAATGATGGAGTAGTCTTGGTACTTCTAAGCCTCTTCTACAGAAGTAGAATTACCCGGCAGGGCTGAGGAGGATCTAAGAGAACTGGGCACATTAGCTGCAAAACACCAGATAGCCACGAACATGAGAGGTATGAACAACCTCACCTTTCCAACCAATTATGATGTCAAGCTGCACTAAGAGATGTTTCAAGGGCCCTACAGTCTCAAAGGTTGACTCCTTTCTTGCCAGTGACACAGTCTTAGAATACTCAAGGTGTTCCTCACCATGGTAGCTGAGTGGTATACACAATACATTTAGAAGCAGGAGAACAGATTTCTAACTATGCACTTCTAAACATCAATTTTGGAAGTGGCTGAGGGTGTACCTGAGTGGTAGTGCTTGCTTGCCTTGCCTGTGCAAAGCCCTGGTTCACTCATTAGTAACAGGGAAAACACTGTATTTGAAAGAGGGGAGATGTACAATGAACTACTAGAATATCTTGCTGTTTCTGATATAATTTCACTGTGTAGCCTAGGCTCCAACCCCCAGAGTGACCTTAACCAAAGGAAAACTTGAATCCTTTTCTCTGCAAATTTTACTTTTCCATCTTATCTAATTTATTATCAGGTAGCCAGTTTTAAATACTGAAGTACAGCCAGGTTTAGTGGCACCTTTAATCCATGTGCCCAGGAGGCAGGAGCAGGTGGTCTCTGTGAATTCAAGACCAACCTAGCATACATAGTGAATTCTAGGCCAGCCAGAGTGACAAAGTAAGAACAATGCCTCAAATAAACAAACAAATAAAATTTTAAAAGTATAACATAACACTATAGACTAGAGCATATGCTTCAAATAGGATGTGTGTGAAAACGAAGGTAAGAATTAGACAGGGCAATAATGCTGACATTTTTGTATTTGACATTCTGTGGTTTTTGTAACCCTGTGTATTTAAACTGTTAATGAAAACTGAAAATAACCTCTACCTAGCTAGTATAACCAGTTGTTTTTTAATGTGCCATTAAATTACTCTACAACCTTAGTCCCACACTGTTCTGACCTCCACACATGCAACATGGCACACAAATCCGTGCATACACAGAAGACATTCAGTTTTGAAAAGATATGGGCTTTTTCAGAGCCCTAGGCAACTTCCTCACAACATTTTCCTAATTTTAAATTGCTATCTATCAAACTTTGTGTCATCCTTTATGTCTTTCTCAAAAACAGCACATACCACTATTCACTTCATGTATCTAAGCTAACTCAATTAAAAAAAAAAAATCTCCACTGAAAGAAATAAACCCTAAGCAATCATGTGTGCTACCCTGGGTTACAACCCCAATAGTAGGAGGACCAGCACTGACACCTCAGGCAGCCTACAGCACGAGAACTACTCCTAACTTTGGTCTTTTATGTCTCCAGCAGTCTACTCATTCACAAAGACCCACATTTCTCACCCCAGCCTACTGACCTCTGTTCACTGGCAGTCTCGGCCCCACAACCCTCAAGCTCCCAGTCTCTTCAGTTCCAGTTTCATACATGCTCACCTGCACTGGTTCAACCCATACCCTCCATCCTTAAAAATCCTACCCATAAACCAAGTGTGCTACATACCTTTAATCCCAGCAAAGAGGCAGAGGCAGTAGGATCTCTGAGTCTGAGGCCAGCCTGGTCTATTTGGAGTTCCAGGAAAGGCACAGCTACATAGAAACCCCATCTCAAACAAACCAAGTGCTGAGGGGCTGCAAGATGGCTGACTCAGCTGTTAAAGGCTAGGCCCAAAGGGAGGGTTGGTAACTTACCCATATGTTACAGAGCTATTTCACTGTCTAGAAAATTCCTGTGACCATCGTTCCACCTATGCACTAAGATGGGTCTGGCATCTTTGACAGCAGGAGCCTTCATCTTGCCATGCTTTATCACTGAGTTAAGATTCAGATTCACAAGTTTCTAGCATGCCAAAGGCGTGGGCTCAAGCCTGGCACCAAAGGTGGCAGCAGAGGAAATACCCGTCCCTGTGGTGATGTGATCAGCCTTGTAAACACTGCCAAGTGAGTTGGGACTTCAAACTAGACCTCTGTAGTCAACACTTACTACATCCTGAATATCACAGACAAGTTCATAAACTCCATCCTTTATGGTCCCAATACCACCACCAACACTGCTTACTCTAGCCTAAGCTGACTTGCTATATATCGTGCTCACTTTTCAAAGCTCATTCTTTCTAACTCTAAATACTACAGGACTATTTCCAAGCTTCCTTATCTGTACTGGAGAGGAGGACAGTTCTCCTAAGTGCACTTTTCTCATGTTAACAGCAGAGCACCGAGTCATGAGGCCAGGTGATAAACCACTGCCTCCTCAGTCTTCTCCCTGTATGACCTCCAACAAGGGCTACCTCTGATTATCCAAGTCTCCATGCCTTCTTTAAAAAGGACACCTGGATTTACAGACCCATGACGCTTAAATAACCTTGAACTTTCAAATCATGAATTGCTATGTTATCATTCTGCTGTAGCATCTGAATTAGCTCGAAATAAGCAGCTAGATTCACAGTAGTTCTCAAACTACCTAACGCTGGATCTTTTAATACAGTTCCTTTTGCTGTGGCGACCCCCAAGCATAAAATTATTTTCACTGCTACTTCATACCTGTAATTTTGCTACTGTTATCAATCATTGTAAATATGTTTTCCTGTGAAAGGGTCGTTTGTTCCCTGGGTTGAGAACCACTGAGCTAGAAGAATAAACTGCCCAGGCTGGGTGTAGTCATGCAAACTTATAATCCCAGCACTTGGAAGGCACAGGCAAAGTTGCCTAAAGTTCAACACTAGCCAAGACTATATAGTGAGTATCAGGCCAGCTTGGGCTACAGAATTCTGGAGACCCTGTTTTAAGAGGGGGAAAAATTGTTATTTTAGGCCTCATATAGTTCTAAAACTCTTACTGATTTAAAGGGTTTTCTTGTTTTGTTTTTTAAGACAGCGTTTCTCTGTGTAGCCTTGGCTGCCCTGGAACTCACTTGGTAGCCCAGGCTGGCCTCGAACTCACAGAGATCCACCTGGCTCTGCCTCCCGAGTGCTGGGATTAAAGGCATTCGCCACCACCGCCCGGCCTATTCTTTTCTTAAAGATGCTCCTACTCCTGCCCTCCCTCTCCATAAACAATTGTGACAAAAGAAAGAAAGAAAGAAAGAAAGAAAGAAAGAAAGAAAGAAAGAAAGAAAGAAAGAAAGAAAGAAAGAAAGAAAGAAAGAAAGAAAGAAAGAA